CTGACCCACAGCTGACACTCCAGTGGGTTTTCAGATATAGTTAATCTCATGGGAGGAGATTGCCTGTCCTTCTCCTGTGGAGCAGCTGGTATCCTGTACTAGTCTTTAGTACATCTGAGTAATCCGCTAATGTTTCTAAAATACTTACCAGAGAGCTCTGGTGGCCTAGTGGTAAGAAGCTGTATGGTGATTCCAAAGGTGCACAGTTTGAATCCTGTCAGTAGCTTCCTCTTCTCTGCCCCCTGCCTCCAAACCAATCCAGAAATTTGGAAAGTTAAAAAAACAAAAACAAACAAAAAAACCCAACCAATCCTCTTTACCCTGACTATAAGCATAATTACATTTCCTTGGGATAAATACTCAGTCCTATAGCCAATGCAGTTAGCTGGATAAAGCCACACTGGGCTTTGGAGTCTGTCAGTTCACTTAATTAAAAGGGCTTGCTACTTGTGGTCCCTTCACTGATCTCACTAGAATTACAACTGGAAGGGATTCATGTTTGTTTCCATTCCAAAAAAGAGCATTCAACAGACTGTGGACATTGTCAAACAATGTCGTTAGTACTACTTTTCAAGTAAAATCCTGCTGAAGATAACTGAAAAACAGCTGGAACAGTACATTGACAGAGAACTGCCAGAACTTTCAGCTGGATTCAGAAGAGACTATGAAATCAGGGATATCACTGCTGATTTTAATCCTTATTGAAAGCAGGGGGGAAAAAACCCAAAAGATGGTTACTTGTGCTTTACCGATTATGCAGTCATTTGACTGTGTGGACCATAAGAAATTATGGCTAACATTGAGAAAACTGGGCATCCCAGAACTTATCATTGTGCTCACATGAAACCTATGCTTAGACCAAGAAACAATTGACCTAACAGAACAAGGACCCATATTGCAAGATTTAAAATCAGGAAAAGTGTGCATCAGGGTTGTAGCCTTTCTCTAGTCAGTCTGAATTGTTTCTTTTATTATTGTATCCTTTCTCCAGTCAATCTGTGGTGAGCAAATCATTAGAGAAACTGGAGTATATGAAGAAGAATGTGGCATCAGGATCAGAGACTCTAATACCCTGTGATAGGCAGATGACATTATCTTACTGGCAGAAAGTGAACAAAACTTGAAGCACTTGCTGCAGAAGGTCAACGACTACAAAGCCTTCAATATGGCTTACAAACTCAACATCAAAAAACTAAAATTCTCACAACTGGACCAATAGGCAACACCATGATAAACTGATAAAAGATTGGCGTTTCCAAAGATTTCTTTTTTCTTGCATCCATAACCAACACTGTTGGTAGCAGTAGTCAAGAAATACAAAGGCATGTTGCATTAGGAAAATCTGGTGACCTTTCCAAAGTTCTGAAGAGCAAAGATGTCATTTTAAAGACTGATCCAATTCTTGGTACTTCCAGTTGCTTCCTGTGCATCTTAAAGTTGGACAGTGAATAAGGAAGGCAGAAGAAGAATTGATGTCTTTGATGTCCTGGTGAAGAGAATTGACTATACCAGGGACTGCCAAGAGAATAAACAAATCTCTCTTGAAAGAAGTACAACAAGAATATTCCTTAGAGACAAGGATGGTGACTTTTTTCTCACTTTGGGCAAAGACATCATGCTGGGAAAGTAGCAAATCGATGAGATGAATTGACGTAGTGACTACCACAGTGGACTTACGGGACATAATGGGCCACTGACTGGACTTAATGGACCACAATGGGCATATCATAGTAAATGAGGATGACACAGGAGAGGGCAAGGTCCAGATCTTTTGTTCATAGGGTCACGATGGTTGTAGTCAACTTGATGAAACCTAACAATAACAATCTCACTAGGTGAACTCTAGGCCACGAAATTCTAGTACTGGTCGAAATGTTCTATTGCTTGCATTGGTGGTGTTATTGATTGCCGTCAAGTTGAGCATGACTCATAGCGACCCTATGAACAAAGACCTGAAGCCTTTCTAGAACTCTCTTTGTTTCTCAAAGTTCATAGAATTCCAGAGGCATGTTGTTTAGGAAGTGGATGTCACTCCTGCTTCCAATAGGCAGAGCCAAAACCAGTGCTTAGAATCCACAGGGAGAGATATGTTGGCTCAACTAAACGAACAACCTAATGCTTAGAGCTGTCTGAAAATGGACGTGCCTGCTGGAGAAGGGGGAGCGAACTACAGTTTCTGTAAGTGTCGAAGCTCTTCTGAGCAGACAGTTCTCTGATACAGAATGTGCAGTAGGGACAGAAAATCCGAGCAGAGAAATAATCTGCACAGACCATTGAGCTCCTGCTCCTGCTGGAGCCTCGCACACGTGCTTCATCTCATTTAAGCCTCTTAACGACCCCCAGTGGAAATAGTTAGAGCCTCCCTTTACTAAGGCCAGGCAGGGTGATTATACTCACAGACCAAAGATCACACGGTTAGCAAGTGGCTGGGCCAGGACTGACAGCCTGGGTTTAAACAGCTTCATCTGACTCCAAGCCGGCCTGTGTTCTTTCCACAACTCACAGAAGCTTGAGAGGGGGTTTCTAAGGCTCCTCCGCAAACTGTGATCCTATTTGAGTCAAAATGTGGCTATAGGAATCACATATTCTTGTCCTTTAGTCATTCTCCAAACCTGGGCATAGCAAAACAACAGTTTGTGAATCCAAAACTTTCCGTGGCCTCTTCTATCAAGGAAGTGGCTTTTACTGCATAGCAGCGCTGTTACAGCAGGACTGAGGAGAATAGACAAAGAGGGGACAGATAGTGAGCACTGCATTGGAACAGATGAGGGAAAGAGCTGTTTCAAAGGATTATATGATTAGACATTATCTGAACAGTCCAGAGTAAGAGGTGCATTGCAAAGTGGACGCGGGTGTGTGTGTGTGTGTGTGTGTGTGTGTGTGTGTGTGTCAGAAAATTGTGCAACAGTGAATGAACATTTTAAAAAAAGTGAACTGGAAAAGGGAGAAGGGAGAAAAATGTGCAACAATGAATGAAAGAAAATCCAACTTTTCTTTAAACTGTCATCAATATCCCAGTTAAAAGACACAATTCTATTATTAAAGAAAGAAAGTAGCTTTTGAAAAATGGGATTCTGTACTTGCCCTCCCATCTGAAGCTTAAGGAAAGCTCATTGTCAAAGTCACAAGTTGTTCTTTATCTTTTTTTTCCCTTTGTTGAGTTGCTGGCAAGGGCCAGGTTTACAGTATAAATGTCCAGAAGACTAATCTTTTACCGTTTCTGAAAACTGTCATAAGAAAATGTCCTAAATGTTCTACTTGCTGTTGTTGTTGTTGTTGTTTACTGTATAGTTGGAACGGACCCAGAGCTGACCCTCCTGCAGGTTTTCATGGGCAGAGAATTGTTTGGGGGTTGATTGCCCATCTTTCTCCCAAAGAGCAGCCTGGTGGTGGATTAGAACCATGTACCTTGCTGTCAGCAGAGTTCCTTCCCACTAAGCCACCAGTGCTCTTCCTGCTTACTCGAGTCTTCTTCCTTTTTGCTTTGTATCAAGTGTGGTTCTGATACTGCAATATAAAATACAAAATGAGTACAATAGAATTAACTATCAAAGAGTCGATGAGCAGTCGCTTGTACAAAGTCCAGGGGAAAAAAAGGTCAAGTCAATTTTACATAAAAATAAGGGCCAATAAATGCATTACAAATGCTAAAAACAAAGAAAGCATTGGTTCATGAGTATATTCTTTAGTCTTGTTTGGGACGAGATGCCAGATTCACTGTTCACTTTTTGGTTCATCTTGTCTTCCATGAAGCTCCTGATCTTGTTTTGTGCATTCTGGTATCCCGACATAGTCCACAGGGACAGGTTCTGCTAGCTCAGCCAGATGAAAGACGTATGTAATTTTTTGGCTGAATTTTGAGCTGATAAACGGGCTTGTCACAGCCCAAAGTGTTCTGATAAACCAAGAGGGATGTACAAGTGAGTGATTTTAAGTTTTTCCGCAACCTCCTATCAATTTGCTGATGGCATCTCCTGAGTCATCCCAGACGGGCTATTTTTCCTCGAGTTGTTGCACCATTTAAGTATACAGTCATGTAATTTTCTGCTACTAAGAGCTCCAAATGCCAATAACATGTTTAAAGAGATTGTCCATCAGGTATCTATAGTTATGTTGGCTACTTTCAGGCATAAAACAGACAGCAAATACAACAATTGAATACATCACAATAATGCCCTCCATGGCTGATAGCATTTTTTAAAAATAGGATTCAATGGCTTTCATGACAACCCTGTGGTCCTGCTCTCCAATTCTGAATAAATGCCAAGCACCGTCCACCTTCTTTTTCCTCAGCTTCATTGTACTCAGTAACTGAGTCTTTCCTAATTATTTCATAGTTTTCGGTTTGGGAAGATCCTCTTCCCATTCACAATCATTGCTGTTCTCTGATGGTGTATCTGAGCCATCTAAGTCAATCATCCAATTCATCTGATTATTAGGATCCAGCAGCAGGCTAATGTCTGGGGCCACTAGTTCTTTCTTACTTTATTTCTATTAACTTCTGCTGGTTCTCCAGTCCAGTTACAGTAGTATATCTGCATCAATACTATCATCTTCTGGTAAAGGTGTAGGAAAATCTTCATCTTGCTATTCTTTAAGTCCTCCACTGTCCACCCTCCACCTGGCTTCAGTGTCAGCTGTAAGCTCTTGATAATCCAGACAGCCAATCGCCCCGGAGGTAGCTGTGGCCCCCTCGTCCTTTTTGCCTCTCCAGGCTGGGGACGGGGGTCAGACGGCTAGGTCGCTCCCCTCAGTGCGTGGCAGAGACACCAGCACAGGCTCTGGGCCGCAGCGGGAGCAACTGCAAGCTTACTTTAGTCTTAAAAAAAAAAATCTTGGACCATTTTATCTAGGGCTGTTTTTCTCTGACCCAAGATTTGAATCACAAAGTTGTTTGTTTGGCTTTTTCCACCAATTTGTAAATATTAGACTCTTTAAATAAAGATGAATGTACTTTGAGGGTAAATGGTTTTAATACGTGTTAAATGCTTACTTTCTAGATTGAAGCTGAACTCACTAAGGAAAGAGCCCAACATTTAGCTGAATTTGAGGAGCAAGCACTTCTCTTCAAGGAAGAAACTAAATTGATACTTGATATTGAAAAGGAAAAATACCAAGGAATGATCCAAAAGCACCAGAAAGAGCAAGAGGAACTGCAAATGAAGGTCTGCATTATAATGGTCACCATTACTTAGTAAGGGAGCTCTAGTGGTAAGAAGCCACACTGCAATCCTGAAGGCCTGTGGTTCGAAAACCTGCTGGAGGGTCAGCGACTTGAACGGTACTCAACAACATTACTTAGTAGATCCATTGCTGCTAAGGTTATTCTGAAGATGTTGGTGATTTCCTTCCAAGAGCACTGCAGTGTTTCTAACTCCTACTGACACAGTATTTGGATGGGAAACTTGGCAGGGGCCTTCCCATCGCTGTTCTAATCCCTGAGCTCTATGGAGGCAGAGACCTGCACACTCATAGGGAGAGGCGTTTGCCTGCCATGAGAGGAGGCAGGGGCTCACGGGAGAAGACTGACTCTTCCCTTTGCTACAAATCCATTCAGTTACACAGCCTGCCCTGGGAAGGGGACTTTCTATTCCAAAGTAATGAAACATAGGGCAATATTGGGAAAATAGAATCAATTTAGAACAGGCCGGGAACCTTTCCATACGAAACTACCTTCATCTGTTTATTTTCCTTTCTAAACTCAAGAAATATTTATTATAATGTATTTATAAGGAGCTCTTGTGGAGCTGCACTGCAATCCTGAAGGCATGTAGTTCAAATCTACCAGCTGTTCTGGCGAAGAGGGACAGGCAATCCGTTAATCCTGTGCGATTAACTGCCTCTGAAGGCACACACAACAATTTATTTATATTCTCCTAATAAATTTAAAAACCCAACCCTCAAAAAGAACAAAACCGTTAGTTGTCAAGTTGGCCCGGACCCTGTGAGGGGGCCCCGGCTCACTGCCTGGCCAGCGTCTAGTGTTCAGTCCTTTGCTAACATGTCTCCTGTGACTAAAAATTATTATTACCTCCTCCTGTTGGGGATTTTTATGCTTCTGCCTTTAGACAGGAAAAAAAAAACAACCAGAAACCCACCACCTTTGAAAGAGAATTGGAAAATGTAGGATTCTTTGACCCGCTAGAAGGTTCTCAGAGGCTGTAAACCACACAAGAGGAGACTGCCCAGCTTTCTCCTCGGAGCACCTGGTGGGTTTGAACCACCGAAGAACCACCACCTCTGGGCTAATAGTGCAACTCCCTATAGCTCCGCACTTCTAATTACATAGGTTAAACATCTGACTGACACTAGAAGGTGTGCATTTAACAGAGTTAACTTTACAAAAACAAGTTAATTTTAATCTGGTGGTTGTTGTTGAGTACCACCGAGTTGGAACTGACCAATAGCTGACATCCCAGCAGATTTTTCAGAAGCAGTTAATCACTCAGGAGATTGCCCATCTTTCGCCAATGGAGCAGCTGTTGTATTTAAACCATGTACCTCCGGGCTTTCTGTACAGCATCTTACCACTAGGCCACAACTGCCCCTATTTAGAATATTCTAAGTAGCATTCAAAATACATATTTGTAACCAACACCTATACAGGTATTGTTTCTAAAGGAATAAATCTTAGGCTTTGTTTTAATAGCCTTTCTTAAATTATGAAATAATGAATTCATATTTCAAAAACAGTGAATTTTTTTAATTTAAATAAAATTTAAAAGAAATGCTAAGGGGGAAAAAATAAAGCCTTCTTTATAAAGCCTTCAAATGCAGCATAATATTCTGATAAAGTTCATCTAGTCATTGTGTGTTTAAAACATAAGATGATAGTAAAGCATATGGCTTTGAGAGCTGCCTCTTCGGCCCCACCCTCTGCAACTCAATAACATTGCATAAATATATGTCCATGAAATTTAAAAATTCTTCCCAGCATTTCTCAACACATAAGTTTTTCTTCTTTTATTTTTACACTGAAAAGAGCATGTTTTTCTCTAACAACAACCACAACCTTAGTACTCACTCACTCATGGCCATTGGGTAGGAAGCAACTCATAGCTGACCCTCCAGTGGAGTTTCAGAGGCTGCAGATCGCGTGGAAAACGATAGCTGCCGAAAGATGGAAGAGACAGTTTAAACCACCACCAGAGCTCCCTATTATCGTGCTTGACTTCTTCCCAAAGGCAATCTACGATTTCTGTGGGTAGCATTTCTTCTTAAAATTCAGTGACGTTTGAGCAGTCTTAAGTTCCCCTTGGATGCACCATAGCCATTAAGGTAATTTTAACTGATTGTGGAACTTGGTGGGTGGGAAGAACAAAGGAAATACAGATAAATCACTGAAGTCTCAAAGTTAAAAACATCTCCATGTCAGCATGATGGGACGTGGAAGCGTTCCTCTGGGGACTAGACCCAGCACTGAGGTAAGGGCGCAGTCAGAAAATCCCACCGAGATGCAACGACTAACCTTGGTGCACAATTTATGGTGAATCATTTTCTGAACGAATCCCAAAGACTCTAAATATAAATCCAGATGCATTTCTGGGAAGCCATACTACCTGCTATTGAAATGAAAATTATTTTTGGATGAACTGTAACATCTAAGAGTCTGTAACTAGTGATCAAAATATCTTTAAACGATTGAGGTTAAGCATGCACTGGGTTCCAAATCTTGGGAAAACAAACACACGGGGTTTTTTTTCAAGCTTTCTGTCATTTTTAAAATGTCCTCACCTGTGGAGGAGGCTCTGTTACCCTAAGTTATAAGGTCCCACTGTCAAGACAGGCGGACAGGGCCTTGGGCGCACAGGCACGCTGCATCTGAGGTGGGCGGGAACAGCACCAGCTTATACTTGGGTGCTAACAATTTGCCAGATGTTAACTGTTTTCTCTAGAGAGATCTCAAGTTCCTATTTTGCAAGTGAAATCTCTTGCGTTAAAATGTGGATGCCCTTTTTAAAAATTCCAAACATATCTGTGACTATGTGAGCCTCCTCTTCCCAGAATAAGTTCTGATTCCCTGTTACCTCTCCTCGGGGAGGTGGACACCACAGTCACCCCTCACAGGGGCCAGCTTCCTTCCTGGGCTAATTGGAAATAACGTTAAATTCACATATAAAGCATCTCACCATAGTGAATATATTTCTTTAAGTTATTCTTTCTGCAAATTTAACATTTGAAACAAATTTGGGGTGCATAATTATTTTTTAGTACTAGTTCACAAAGTCCTTGGAACTTGAGTCTGTGAATGCATTCCAGATTCTTCACAGGACAGTTTCTTGTACTAATATTTATAATATGGAAGCAATTGCTCTGCCTGGTTTGATTTCTGCAATTTGTTCTATTTTGCTTTGTTTTTTTAAGGGAAAGGAAAAGGAATGGTCTGTTCCCTTCTAGAAAGTTTCATGACTACAAGAAAGAGTGCCTCTAAGTTATTCCCACATCTCTTTTTCCAGAGGCACCATCTTAAAAAGTAGTATATTTTACAATATAACCATGAACTCTGTGTGGCTATTTAAATTAATGGAATTAGATGAAATAGAAAATTAATTTCCATAGTAATTATTATTATATTTCAAGTATTCTATGGCCAGCACTGGCTTCTCAGAATTAGATACATCTGTCTTCTCAGCTATGCTAATAGTAATGTCACATTTGTGGCTTGAGAATTGACCATGGTGAGAGTATGTATAGAAAATATTACACATCCAGTCTTTGTTTTATTTTGTTTGTTTGTTTGAGAAGCAGTTGTTTATCACTAATGCTCAGCAAGTCCCTATCAGCAGTCACATGTGACAGGTTGTGGTTGCTGTTAGCTGCTGTTGAATCGGTCCTTGGCTCATGACAACGTCAGGCACAGATAAATGACGTGCTACCAGGTCCTGGGCCATCCCCGTGATCAGCTGCAGATCAGATCATTACCAAGGACCGTTGTGACCTGTAGAACTTTCTTTGTGTGTGTGTGTGATCCGTAGCATTTCCATTTGTTAGTTTTTTAATTTTAATATTTTTTCATTGCTGCACATTTTCTAGCCTCTCTTTCCCTCTCTCTTCCCCTCCTCCCATGCCCAGCCCTCCTCCCCACAATGAACGCTTGTTCTAGATTGCTGTCATACATATACTGAAAGTCTAATCATATATTTTTTCAGACAGTTCTCCCCCTCATCTGTTCTAATGCAGGGTTCATTATCTATCTACTCTTATCCCATTCTCTCCCCAACTCCCCATGTCTGCCCTACTTTATAATAGCAGTGCTATGCAGTATTTGTCCTTTTGTGACTGAGATATTTCACTTAGCATAATGTCTTCCAGGCTCTTTCATGTTGCATAATGTTTTATGAGTCCATTTTTCCCCAGTGCTGAGTAATATGTTTCACTGTGTAACTACTATAGTTTTCCTATCCATTCGTTTGCTGATGGGCACTTGGGTTGCTTCCATCTCCTTGCTGTTGTGAATAAAGCAGCAATAAACATGGATGTGCATACATCTGTTTGAGTCGTGGCTCTGGTCTCTTTAGGGTATATTCCTAGTAGTGGAATTGCTGGGTCAAATGCTATTTCTATTTCTAACTTTTTGATAAAGTGCCAGATGGCCTTCCATAGTAGTTGCACCATGATACACTCCCACCAGCAGTACATAAGAGTTCCAGTCTCTGCACAACCTCGCCAGCATCTGTTGTCTGCCGTCCTGTGAACTCTGTTATTGTTCCTGGGGCACTGGCTGGATTGTCAAAGTGGATCCCCAGGCCTTCCTTTCCAGTCTGTGTGAGTCTGGAAGCTCCTCTAAGACATGGTTAGCATCATTGCACCACATAAACCCACAGTGGCAGAACGGAATTGGAAACTGCATCTGGGTCTCCCTGAACCACCAGTGTCTCCTACTGGCTACCATCAGAAAGTCTTACCAAGCAGCACTGCTCTCTCTAGGTGGTAAAAAGAAAAGATTTCTTTTAAAAATACGTTAATAATTTAAAAGCGATGTGTGATAGGGTCTTACGGTTATCACAGGAGTCCACAATTAAGGTTGCATAGTAGAATATACTTGGGGCGGTGGGAGGGGTGCGGGGGGATTGTGTACCAGGGAAGGAGTGTTTCTTTTACTTTTGAAAGAGAGGAGCGAACTGGGTGGGTGGGGGGGAGGGCTGGCGGGGAGAGAAGTGCAGCAATGAATGAATGGAAATCCAAAATCTCTGTAAATGCTCATTAAAATTATTAAAAAAATATGTTTACATTATTAAAAGAAGGGATTTTGTTCCTTTCATAAGGAAAATCTTGAAGACTATATATATCATAGAATTGTCTCATCTGATTAGAATGTTTGTTTCACTGATTATTTCCAATAAATGTTTTAAGAACCATAAGAACTTATATAGTTACCTAGATGCCACTATCTGACAAACTAATACAAAATTTACCCTGCAGATATCTGACTTAATCACAGACGCTACTAGAGATCTAAGACTGGAAGTAGCTACTCTCCAAGAACAACTCTCAGCGGCCCACATGCGATACACTCAAGAATCGGAGTCGAAGGAGAAAGAAATGGAAAATCTGAGAAGTCTGCTCGCAGAATTTGAATCTCGCTTGAAGACGGAAATTGACAGTGGTGATTCCATTTCGGAGGACCTGAGGAAGGAAATGAAACAGAAGTCGGATGAGCTGGAAAGAGTAACGCGGGCACAGATACAACTGAGGCAGCAGCTTACCCATTCCCAGGAAGAGGTAGGCAGGGGGGTGAGGATCTGCAGTTAGGAAGAGAACATGTGGTACTCTAAAAACACATGCAAAAGGTATCTCATACCGTGGAAAGAGTCCCGGGGTGTTAGGGTCTTGGGATCATCACACCCTGGGGTTTCTACGTAGACACCTTCAGTAAAGTGAGTATGTTAAGAAACTTGGAGGTTTCCTTGGCACACAGTTCTACTTGCTGCAAATGACGGAAATCCTGACACTAACCATCTTGTTGTCCCTTTGTTTTGGTGATAAATCTTTGCCACAGAAATATTTGGAAGAATTTGCTGCTTACCTGCTAAAAGTATTTAGATAATATATGTCAATGGGATTTTTTTCATTAGGATTGTATCTTTCTATTCATTTAAGCTCATAAGATGATTTCTATAAATTAATTTTCTTTCTTATGTACGCATGATCATCCCAGCAATATTTTCATTTAAGCTGAGGTAGACTTTTTTTTTAGTGAAAGGCATTTTCCTAACTTCTTTACTTCTTAACTTCTAAGCCATTTTGAGATACTGGAATGATTGATATGCTCTCTAATTATCAAAGTTGTGTCACAGACTACTTGATCCCATTTATGAAATGATGAAAGATTCTGAATGAGAAGGAATTTTTTTATTTTATTGATATCTTAACAAAGGGCTAAAAGGAATGAGACAGTAATAGCATTTATTGATTATAAGCAATTAAAAACGTACTATGTTCTTGCTATATTTACAACCTAAATAAAAACGTAGCTCTGTGTTATAATTATGATGAAACTATTGCAAAGAAGCTACAAATTCAAGTTAAAACATGGAAGGAAGAGAGTGCTCGATCGAGAGTAAAGCCTAAGTGACTCCAGAAAACAGAAATTATTTCCGTGTTAGACATGAGGAACTGCCTCTGATGGGCTGAATAATTTGCAGAAGATCAAACAGCTTGTTGGAATCAAGAAATAATTTGAAATCTCCATCATGTTACGTTTCTGCTTTCTGGAAACCCAACATTCTAGGTGATTCTGCTTCTAAATGGCAAGGTGACCTCAAGAGCAGCAGCTAACGTCTCACTTTTCTCTTAACATTCAGATTGAAAATACCAATTCATACACTACTTGCCCTCCAGATGCTGAAGGAGTCCCTGGTCTTATGCTGGAGCCAGCAGCACAAGCCTCCCTCTTAGTAAAGGAAGCCGCTGCCCCAGTGCAGGCAGGAGAAGGCAGGGACACCAGGCAAGGGGTCAGCCATGGAGAAGGGCGAGAGCTGTGTTCCTCAAGGAGACAGCGGCTTTTGAAGTTCTCAAAGTGGGACAGCAAAGGTAAAAGAGAGAAAAAGGCCAGGGGAGCGAGGTGAGCTGCTTTTCTACCTCTTAAATCACAAAAGCAACATAGTTGTTGTTGTGTGTCATCGATTCACCTATGACTCACAGAGACCCTATTTACAACAGCCCTAAACCCTGCTCTGTCCTGTGCCAATTGCACTGTCTCTGACACACCTACCCCCACTACCCCAGTCATTGAATCAATCCATCTCATCGAGGGTCTCCCTCTCCTGCGCTGTCCCTCCACCCTCCCAAGCATGATGTCCCTCACCAAGGACTGGTCCCTTCTTGCAACATGTCCAAAGTATGTCCAAGGCATTTGACTGTGGATCACAATAAACTGTGGCTGACTCTGAGAAGAATGGGAATCCCAGAACACTTCATCATGCTTATGCGAAGCCTATACTTGGACCAGGAGACATTCATCAGAATAGAGCAAGGAAACACTGCATGGTTCAAAATTGGGAAGGGTATACACCAAGGATGTGTCCTGTCTTTTCAATCTATATGCAGAACAGGTTTTCCAGGAGGCTGGGCTCTGTGAGGAGAAATGTGGCATCAGGTTTGGAGGAAGACTTATCATCAAAAGCAATGACTTTATGAGAAAATGAAAAGTAACTTATAAACTAGGACAAGTTTAAAAAGACAAAATTTAGTAAATACATAATAAGCATCTACCTTGGGAGCCAGCACTGTTCCAGACACTGAAGGTGTACTTCTGCACAACACTGACAATCACAATTTCCTGTCCTCAAAGAAGAAGTTAAGGAAAACCTCACATGACTATTAAATTGGCATCCAGAGGAAATAACACCTTACACAGGAATTTCATATAAAATTAATAGATTAAAAACTAGAAAATAGGTCCTAAGTGTCTATATTAATTATCTGTTGCTGTATAAAAAGAAATTGTCTCCAAAAAGTATTGGTTTAAAACAACAAATATTCCTATTTCACTCTTTCTGTGGATGGGGAATCCCAGTGTGGTTAGTTGAATCCCTCTGACTCGGTGGAGGTTGAAAGCAGGGTGTTGCCTGGTGGTGGTGACTTCACCCGCAGCCTGGACCTAGAGGACTGGCTTTCAGGCTCTATTCCATGCTGGTTGGCAGCGTTTCTTACTTGGGGTTGTTGAACTCAGAGCCTCAGTACCTCACTTGCTGTTGACCAGAGGCCTCTTTCAGGTCTATGGATCCATGCACACACCACGTGGTAGCTGACTTTCCCTGAGAGAGGAGAGAGAGAGAGAATGAGGAGAAAGAGTGGGCTTAAAGGGAATTAAGAGTCTTTTTTAAAAGTTAATCTCAGAAGAGACTTTCCATTCCTTCCACTCTATACTATTGTTACAAATGGACCAGTAGGTCCAGCCCATACACAGGTGAAGGGAGTGTAGAAGGAGGTGGATACAGGAGGCATGGACCATTTGGGATGCTCTTAGAGGTTCCAGTTACAGAGCTCCTAGCAAGTCAAACAAGACCAAAAATGAAAAGAAAATATTTTCTGGATTCAAAGAGCTACATTTGGAACTTCTTGTGCTCGTTCGTTATAAAAGGAAACCATTTCACGATGACGACTTGGTTTGATTTTGTTTCTTATGTGGATTGTTTTTTAAAGTTATAGAGTATTACATTAATATGTGAAAGATCATAGGTCATGACTAGGGAAGAGAAAGAGAACCGCCCACCCCTAAAATGAAGAGATTTCCTGCTGAATAGACTAAATTTTCTATTAGAATTTAAGAACATTAACATCTCAAAATTAAATAATTGAAACTAAATTGTTAGCATAAATAAGGATGCTTATCTAGTGAAGCCACAGGGTCCAGAATGTTCTTATAAAATAGAAAATAAGTCCATAAAAGTGTTGGGACTTAAGCAGCAGAAAGAATGGAGGTTACAACTATTAAAGGGAAAAATTTATATACTGCTTTTGGTTATGCACTCCAGACACTTGAAATTTCTCAGATTCTAGAAAAATAAAACTGCATTTATGTGGAGAACAAATTCTCATTAGGATGAAGATAAATTGATGGTCTAATAAGGAGGCTAATTAAGGGAAGGAAAGCCATGCCTGCTTTTTCAAGAACTCAAGAGAGTGGGCAGACTTTGTTTTTAATTATACGAAGACAGTTCTCAAGGCCAGGAGGGAAGCCAAAGTCTGTGCAGGGCCGGAAGGGGAGCAGAGCTTGTTGGAGAGCATTGCACAACAAAGAGGGCCAAGAGGCTGGGGCAGGGCAGCTACCAAAGGTGCAGGTCAATTAGAAGAGAGAAAACGGGAAGTGAAACTACTGAAAATGTAAATATGAAAAGGGGCCTCAGGAAGATCTTGGTAGGGAAAAGACACACAAAATCAGAAAAGTAAAAAATTATTGTACTTTAGAGGTGACATTATATGCCAAAATTTAGTGGTGTTCACTGAAAACTGCTTAAATTAATGGAAGACGAGAAAAATTAAATAAATACTAGATTTATGAAACAAATCATTTTCTTCTATATATCTAATATAGAATGAGTAATAGTGTTTGACAAATTAATACATACATTAAAGTGTGCTTCCAATTTGAATCCAGAAGAAAATAGATTTAGGGAAGAAAATAGGCAAATAATAAAAACATATATACAATAAGGTAAATCAAACAATATGGCTTGCTTATACTGAGTAAAAATAATATATGAGTATCATAGGACAAAATCATATGACACTGATAAAGAGAACAGGATTAGAATCTATATTTAGAGTTAATTTAGAGTTAATATTGTGAGAAAGAATGTAATATATAAGACATTTTTTACTTACAATAGGAAGATAGGAACATAATAAAGTTTTAGATCCTTATTTTATACTATAATGAAATGTGCAGAGAACTGGAGTCAGAAAATCAAAAGGGCCGGACTCATTCAGCGTTTCTTAAGCTGAAGGAGTTGAAAAATAAATTCAAGCCACAGGTGGCAATAATTAAAGATAGTTTGGGTAGAATGTTGAATGATCAGGAAGTATCAAAAGAAGATCGAAGGAGTGCACAGAGTCACTGTATCAGAAGGAATTGGCTGACACAGAGGAATTTCATGAAATAACATATGAGCAAGAACCTATGGTGATGAAGGAGGAAGTTCAAGTTGCTATGAAGGAATTGGCAAAAAACAAGGCTCCAGGAGTTGACAGCATACCAATTGATTTATTTCAACACACAGACGCTGCCCTGGATGTGCTCACTAAGTTGTGCGAGGAAATCTGAAGGACAGGCGGCTGGCCTACTGACAGAAAGAGATCAATATTTGTTCCCATTCCAAAGAAAGGTGACCCAACAGAGTGTGGAAATTATAGAACAGTATCATTGATATCACATGCAAGCAAGAATCTGCTGAAAATTATCCAAAAACATTTGGAACAATATGTCAACAGAGAATTGCCAGATGTGCAGGCTGGATTTAGAAGAGGTCATGGTACTAGGGATATTATAGCTAATGTAAGATGGATCTTGGCAGAAAGCAGAGAAT